CCACTATAATGACTTTCGCGGATATCATCTTCCAGTACAACCTGCCATTATAGTTGCTTTCACGGATGCCATCGCTTTTTCAATACGACGCGTCACTATAATGGTTTTCGTAAATGTCATTTTCCAATACAACACGCCACTATAGTTACTTTCGCGGATGTCATCTTTTGTCCAGTACGACGCGCCACTATATATGCGCGAAAGCAACTATAATGGTACGTTGTACTGGAAGATGACATCCGTGAAAGCCACTATAGTGACGCGTCGTATGGTAAGAAAGATGGCATCCGCAAAATTCACTATAATGGCGCGTCGTATTGGAAGATGCATCCGCGAAATTCACTATAGTGGCGCGTCGTATTAGAAAAAAGATTGCATCCACGAAATTCACTATAATGGCGCGTCGTATTGGATGATGGCACTCGCGTAAGCCACTATAGTGACGAGAAGTGCAAAAATGGTTAACTTAGGTAAGAAACTTAAATTTTTGTTGTTCTCATTTCCTTTTTCGTTTTATTTCTTTCTTCGTTCTTCTTCTCAACAATTTTCTACGATCGTCTCTGTTCGATATCTAATCAGCCGAGAAATAATAAACGATTCGTTTTACTTCTAGTAAAAGGGAAGAGGAAAAAAGATCTCTTTCTCTATGCAGTGGACCGAAAAACGACGTTCACTCTTCCTTCTTTTTCTTCTTATCTTCTCCTCTCCTTGAAAGTTCATTAAATGGAACGAGAAACGTAATGAGAAAAATTGTAACTTGCTGCTGGCTGTTGTTCCCAGTAAGCAACAAAGAGATTATTGTGAGTTCTTTCATTTTTTTTCCTTTTGATATTTTGTTTGGTCCAATATTAGCTAATAATTTATGACCAATTGTATTATTTATATTTTGTTTTTCCTCAATTGAACGACGAAGTATAATAAAAGAACAAATGAAAAGAACAAATCGATTATGTTTCACCAAGTCTGATCGGAATAACGTTCTGAACAATCTTTCAATCTCTCTTAGAATAAAATTACATATTCGAATTTTAATCAAGTTTAATAATTTCTGTAAAAGTAGTCACATCCTTCTTCATTCTATTTTTAGCTTTCTTTAACAAGAAGAATCTTTTAATTTGACTTTCAGTGCTTCGCTCGTTTGTATTAAAAAGACCGAAGGTCACGTTTAAAAAGAAAAAAGAGAAACAGTTCTATTTCATTTATGTTCCATTGGTTTTTAACAAAGAACATTGTATTTAAAAAATGCAAAACGGCAGAAAAACTTAGACCCCGTTGGCACTTGTTCTTGCTAAAGTATTCCCTGGTTTTGATAGAAAGAAATAAAGAAAAAGAAAAGAGATGATGATGATGGTGGTGGGATGGTTTGATCCATGCAGTAGTCCAAAGCTTAATTAAATTTGGTCAAAGTAGCCGCCACTCTATTTGGAGTCAGCTTTCTTCTGTCTACTAAGAAGAAAGGAAAGAAAGGAAAAAAGAACAAAAACAAAACGAAGAGAACAAAAAGTTTCGAGTATTCTGAACTTTCTTTTCTTCTTATTCATTCCAAAGAACCTAACCTAACCTTCCTTTCTTTTCTTTCTTTTCTTTAATTGACCTTAATGTTATAAATAAGTTTTTAGCTTTCCCTATTAATTAAAAACAATTTTTGAAATTGATTAATATCGGCTACTGCTTTAATAATTTATTTCAATGTAAAGAAACATTTTAATATTAGTTTCCAAGTATTGAGTTGGCAACTAAATCATTGCGGCTTTTGTCGACAGATGGAAACTTTCTTTTGTTTCGTTAAATTATTCACAGTACCTAACCTATATTTTTTCTTATTGTTTGATCGTCTACCTTTCATTCACTCAAAAAATTATATCGATTAGTTCCTTAGTTTTGTTTTTATTCCAATCTAAAAATGGAAGAACAAGACGTACACTTCAGACATATTTTGTTGTATTATTTCCGAAAAAGAAAGAACGCAACGCAAGCACACAAAAAGTTATGTGCAGTATATGGCAATGAAGACTTGAAGAAAAGGCAGTGTCAGAATAGGTTTGCCAGTTTTCGTTCTGGTGATTTCTCATTGAAAAACATTCAACGATCTGGCCGTCCAGTTGAAGTCGATGAGACCCATATCAAGGCCATTATCAATTCAGATCGTCATAGCACAACACGTGATATTGCAGAGAAGCTTAATGTATCGCATACATGCATTGAAAAAAGTTTGAAAAAGCTTGGTTATGTCAAGAAACTCGATCTATGGATCCCTCACCAGCTGAAGGAAATTCATTTGGCGTCTGCGATTCGCTTCTGAAACGCAACAAAATTGATCCTTTTTTGAAAAGACTAATTACTGGCGACGAAAAGTGGATAGTTTATAACAACGTCAATCGGATGAGATCGTGGGTGATGCAAGATGAACTAGCCCAGACGACATCAAAAGCTGAGATTCACTAAAAAAAAGATTATGCTGTCAGTCTGGTGAGATTATAAAGGAATTTTGTACTTTGAACTTTTACCAAAAAACCAGACGATCAATTCGAGCCTGTACGTTGAACAACTCGCCAAACTGAGCGATGCAATTCAAGCAAAGCGGCCAGAATTGGCAAATCGTAAGGGTGTTGTTTTCCACCATGATAATGCAAAGTCCCACACATCTTTGGTCACTCGTCAAAAATTATTGGATATGGGTTGGGATATGTTGTCACATCCACCATATAACCCTAACCTTGCGCTTTCAGACTACCATTTATTTCGTTCCATGCAGCACTCTTTAAATGGTCAAATTTTGAATAACGCTAACGATGTCAAATTACACCTAACTAAGTTTTTTGATAGCAAAAATAAGAAATTTAATGAACGTGATATTATGACACTGCCTGACCGATGACAAGAGGTCATCAACAAATATGAACAGTACTAATTGAATAAACTTATATTTTGAATTCTAATTCTTATTGAAAATCCGCAATCACTTAGTTGCCAACCCAATGGAATGATGACGTACAAGAAGATAAAACACAATTATTGTCTCTCGTGTGTAGCAGGATTTGCCTGTTAGCCTATTTCCCGGTTCTTGTGATCCTCCATCCGTGTGTTCATCGTTTTCAGGTTCTCTCGTAAAACGGCACACGTTTTTTTCCAACCACGTAATCACCCCTCTTTTCCTTCGTTACTGACGTTGACTCGATTACGCAACGATTTTTCGCAACCCCTACACGTTTCCACCAACCCTCGTCTTTCTATTTTCACACCCTCTTTCATACGAGACACACGCTTTATTCCTTTCTATCTCTTTCTCCCTTTTCTTCTTGTTTCAGCAACCGAAATAATGAAGATCGTTATTTCGCTTATTTGTTGTACTCACCGATGCGAAAACTAAAACGGAACATATCACTGTGTGTGTGTTATCGTTTAACTACGATTTTATTCAACAGTTCTTTTCTCTTCTTAATATAAACAAATAAAAGTTCAAAATATTCTAATACTAAGAAAATAATTAAATATATAATATTAGAAACTTTGTATCGTAAGAAAGTTGGATAGATTAAAAAATCAGAACATATTTGTTTTGATCCTCTTTTTTTCAAAAATGACGAAAAATAATTAAAATTATTTATATAAATAAATAAATATTAATAAAATAAGTAAATAAAAATTAGGACTTTTTCATTATTATATTCTTTAGTTGCACAAACAAAATTTTCAGAATTTTGTGTGTATCCATAATATATTGTCAGCTTTAATATGTTATGAGAAAGAGATGAACAGAAGACAGACAGATAGATAGATAGATAGATAAATAGATAGATAAATATATAGAGAGAGATAGATATAATATGATACGATACAGGACGGAAATTGGCACATTTGAATTTGCGAAAATAGGCAGAGGAAATTTTGCATAACGTTGGCACCATGTCTGACGCCAAGAACCGTCGTTTGCCATTTCGATGCAAATGACACGGATAGAAGAGGTCCTTTCCACCAGAACTCGATCCTACTAACCCCCCTATACACACACAAACGTGTACACGTATATACATTTATACACGAAACACAAGGACTTTGTAGAACTTCTAATCCTCTCGCTAATGCGAATCGGGTATTATGGCAATGAGAATGGTTTTAAAAGAAATAGAAAAAAAAGGAGAGAGAGATAATATTTTACGATCCAGTTTAGGGGTTGTCGTGTTCTTGTTACTATGCCTGCTCATAAACGGTTTGTACTACTGTAAAGAAACTACTGTAAAGAAACAATGAATTTTGAAAAAGAAATTCATCCACGAATATTGTTTTTGTATGACATTCATAGAAATTAATAAAATTAATTATTTCTTCTTAACCTCTTAGGCACAGCTGAATGTTGCACGGGGTTGTTTCTTTGTATGGGAAGGTTTAACGAAGATTACGTGTAAATGATAAAACTGCGAACAATGGCTGTTCTCTACGCGAGTACACTTTAATCAAGTTTTTCATGATTAAATTATAATTTTTCTTAAAGAAATGATACACATATACTTTACTCAGACAATTTTCTTTAATAATTAATAATAAAATTAGGTATAATATATTTTAAAAGATGTTATCCGCGAAAGCCATCGCTTTTTCAATACGATGCGTCACTATAATGGTTTTCGTAAATGTCATCTTCCAGTACGATGCGCCACTATAGTTGTTTTCACGGATGCTATCTATCTTCTAATACGACGCGCCACAAAAGTGACTTTTGCCAATGTCCTCTACCAGTACAACGCACCACTATAGTGAATTTCGCTGATGTCATCTTTTGTCCATTACGACGAGCCACTATAGTTGCTTTCGCGGATGCCATCTATCTGCTAATACGACGCGCCACTATAATGGGTTTCACAGATGCCATCTTCCAATACAATGCGCCACTATAGTTGCCTTCGCGGTTACTGTTTTCCAATACAATACACCACTATAGTTACTTTCGCGAATACTATCTACCTTCTAATACGACGTGCCACTATAATGACTTTTGCCATTGTCATCTACTAGTACGACGCACCACTATAGTGAATTTCGCTGATACCACCTATCTTCTAATACAACGCACCACTATAGTGACTTCTGCGGATGCAATTTACCAATACGACACGTAACAATAGTGGTTTTCGCGAATGTCAATTTCTAGTACGACGCGCCACTATAGTTGCTTTCGCGGAT